ACACGCTTGCATAGCTCATAATACGAATTTCACTTTCGATCTTCGATAGCCAGCGAAGATCGAAAATCGAATGCAGCTCATAATAAGGGCCAGAGACCCGCGAACGGGAACGTTTTCTGGTAAATTCTTGTAAATTCTTGCGAGTTAGGGAACGCAACTAATATTTACGATAAAATAGGACCTTTAGGCCCTGTCTCCACAGGAAAACACTGATGTCGTGATAACCGTGTCACAAAATATATTTCCAATGGAGACCGCCTATTTCTCATGTGCTACAATATATGTCAGTGCTTATTGCTTGACATCTATTGCAGGCAATTCGATAGTTTGACAGCCATATTTTCATTTGAAAGAAAGCGGGCTGGTGGTAACATCGATGAAATTTTGATATTAAATCAAAATAAAAAATCTGTTCCCTATTGGATTATTTATGATTACGTTTTAGGAAATTATTCAGCATGTTTTTTAAAGATTTAAATGTGCAGAAATTTCGCCAGCAGAAATTTGCAGTCATATGTTCAAGAAGCAGCTGTTCAAAACGCACAAGGAAAAAGTTGGCAAGTTTATTTTACTTCGTTTTAATAAAACAAAATGAGTGCATCGTTATCAAAACCCATTGAAATATTGCAGAATTTAAGGATTTGTGCATGCATTTGAAGATGTGTGTGTGTGTATACTGTGATTGGAAATTTCTGCTAGTTTTCGTTTCTTTACTTTTTCCTCTTTCGATCTCTTTGTGCGTAAAATTATACTCTTCGCCAATCTGCTATCAACAGCTGTAAAATGTTAAGAAACAATCCTTGAGATTTGGCATAACACCCGCAATTGGTGGCAGTGTTGCCAGAGCCAATTTTTTCCCTATCAAAATCCTCCAAAACCTACCAAACATATTTTTGAGTTTTTAATATTTTTGTTCAATGTTAAGTTAAAAATGTAGATAACTTAACATTTAGTGGAACTAAGGCACATCTAGTACAATTAAAACAAGTTAACTGCGTTTAACGATTCATTCTACTGTACATACCTTATGCCATTCAAAAATCCAAGCACTTTGGACGGTGCCATATTCCAAATTTTATATGGAGAAGAAAATCGCTCTCCAAAGTATATCAGTCTACGATTCATGTTTCGTCAGCGGGTACATAGAATATACTCTGGGGTCTTCTCCACGAGCCCACAAAACCTAGTATAAATATTAAGATTTTTGTATTGCAATCGATAGTTCGTCGATTGTTCTTTACTGTTCGTCCATTTATAACTTTTGTTCGTTAGCCACACAGTAATAACTAATTTTTCAATTTTTACTTTACGTTAAACATTACGTTGTTCGTTTATTTACCACAGTTAACAAATTAAAATAATGAAAACTGAAAACGAAAGTGTCTGAAAGGAGATTTTACAGGCAACTTTTAGTTGACAGCAACAATCGCCTGGGGTGAACGACCTTTCAGCTAATCACTTCCAATGAAGTTTGGGGGCAACCAACTTTTGATTCAACTAATCGCCTCCAAAATTGCCTGGAAAATCGCCTCATGTGATCACCGTTTAAACCAGGCATTTCTCTTGGTGCTGCCAAGATTAACGCAAAGTATCCGGTTGTTTTTGGTTAGTACCAACTATCCATTATTGGATTTCCATAATCGAACTGGTAGTCCTGTATTTGTGAAATAATTGAAGTAATTTTAAACAATAGCCTTTTTAGTGGTCTTCAGCCTCATATCTGTGGCTTATTGTTGTCACTTTTTATTACCTGTATCACAGTTGTATAAAAAAAATTGAATTTTTTATATTAAATAGTTAACTAAAACAGCAAATAGACAATGATCGCCAACTTTGCTTCAAATATTATCTACCATTCTTACATTTCGAAAAAAATATGTAGTACTCGTATGTAGTCCTTAAAAAATTAGTATTGAATGTCGATTATGGCTACTCCTCCTCAATTTTTCTTTTTCTTCTTCTCCTGTCCCAATCCTTGCGATTCCTGATATTGACGCACCAATTGTTCCTGCACATCTGGCAGACAAGGGGAGTAACGTGAATATTCCATTGTAAACTCACCTTTGCCTTGAGTGCTTGAACTGTAAAGTCAAGATTTGTTATTAACCATTCCATAAATCAAAGCAATAACTTACCGCAATTCTCCAGCATAGCCGAACATATCGTTCAATGGCACTTCTGCGTACACAGTGAACCAACCCTCTGCACCATCGGTGCCCGTAATAATGCCATGACGTTTACTCAACTGTCCCATAACTGCACCTTGGAATTCCTCTGGCGCGGTAACCTCCACCATCATTATAGGTTCTAAAATTTGCCAAGAACCCATTTGGAACACTTCTTTCACTGCACCATGCGCTGCCAACATGAAAGCCAATTCACTGGAATCCACAATGTGATGACCACCATCGATCAGGCGGAAACGTACACCAGATAGTCGGTGTCCAGAGAGCATGCCGCGTTCAGCCATATCTCGGAAGCCCTTCTCCACACCGGGCACAAATTGTTTGGGCACATTTGTACCCATAGTATCATCAACAAACTCAATCAGGGTGTTTTGATCTGGTGGCAGTGGCTCCAGGACACCAATAATGCGCGCATACTGACCCGAACCGCCTGACTGTTTCTTGTGCAGGTAGTCAAATTCACAAGGACTAACGAGTGTTTCACGGAAAGCAACCTTGGGTTTACCCAATGTGACGGGGCAGCCATATTCACGCTCCATACGTTGAGCATATATTTCCAAATGTAATTCACCTGCAAGTGTTCAAATAAATTTACTTACCCATGCCAAAGTAACTACAAATATCCTTTCACTTACCCATTCCAGAAACGAGCGTTTCTTTCACGTCAGCATCATAGAAGAAATGGAAGGTGGGGTCTTCTTTAGTGAAACGCGCCACAGCCTTTGCGAAATTATCCCTGTCCTTAGCATTATTGGGCTTAATTGCCATGGACACAACTGGTTCTGGTACGAAAATAGACTCCATTGAAATATTTCCTTTTGGATCTGTGGTGAAGGTATCTCCTGAAGCGCAATCAACACCAAAGAGTGCAAAAATATCTCCAGCGTAAACTTCATTAACATCCTCCATATTATTCGAGTGCAAACGCACGAGACGCGCAACACGCACCTTCTTATTTGTACGCGCATTGAAGATGTTGTCACCCTTTTGCAACATACCCTGATAGCAACGCAAATAGGTGAGCTGTCCAAAGCGCCCAGCTTCTAACTTGAATGCCAGACTGATAAATGGAGCTTTACCATCGCGTGCAGGATTAAGTACAATTTTCTCAGGCTCTTGTCCTTCCTTTTCAATGAAAGCGACATTCTCTACCTGGCCTGGATTAGGCATGTACTCGATAACAGCATCCAATAAGGGTTGGACACCTTTATTTTTCAGTGCAGTGCCCACCATGACAGGGGTAAACGTGCGCTTGATGCAAGTACGGCGTATGGCGTTCTATAAATTTGTAAATAATAATTTTTACGAATAATTTTAATACAAATCCGCTGATGCTTTACTGATACCTAACCTTTATATCATCCTCCGTTGGTGTCTTTTCCTCAAGGAACAGTTCGCCCAGTGTTTCGTCTACGTTTGAAAGATGTTCAATTAGCTCCTGGCGGCGTTCGACCGACTCTGCGCGCATGTCCTGAGGTATCTCATCATAACGTAGTTCCATGCCATGTGTGCCTTCGAAATAAATGGCCTTCTCAGTCACCAAATCCACAATACCCCTGCAATCACTCTCCACGCCAATTGGCAATTGTATGAAAGCTGCATTGTGATTCATCTTTGACCGCATATGCGACAGCACACGATAAGGGTTTGCACCTGTGCGATCCAGCTTATTGATGAAAGCCAAGCAAGGCACATTATAACGTTTCATTTGCCTGTTTACAGTTAATGTTTGACTTTGTACACCACCCACGGCGCAGAGTACAAGCACAGCGCCATCTAAAACACGTAATGCACGTTCTACTTCCACTGTGAAATCCACGTGACCGGGTGTGTCAATGATATTAATATTGGTATCCTTCCAAATCGTATAAGTGGCTGCAGATTGTATAGTTATACCGCGCTGACGCTCCAATTCCATTGAATCCATAGTAGCACCAACATTGTCCTTGCCGCGTACTTCATGCATTTGAGCAATACGGCCGGTGTAGAAGAGAATGCGTTCGGTGAGCGTAGTTTTCCCGCTGTCAATATGTGCCGAAATACCAATATTCCGTATTTTCTCTATTGGCTTATGTTCAGCGAATTTAATATGCGTGCAGTAGCCACTCTAATAGATACATTTTAATCGTAGATGCAGAAAATAAAAGAAATTAAAGCACGTAAATTACATAACCTAGCGAACTTTTATAGGTTTCTATTTTTTTTATTTTGCCAAACAATACATACTTGCTGAAGTGTTTTAAGTGCACCAATGCGTTGAGGCAAATTTGAAGCTATAATTCGCGTTAAAATAGTCATCTTCAAACAACTTTTTAATTGATTTGGAACGTTGTTTATTTTTGGCCGCCCTCCGGATCTACTTAATAAACGAAAAGAACTCGCAATGCATGCTCCAAAACAGCTGACTTTTTGGGGGTGGAAATAAAACACAATGGTGGAATTTTTGGACTTTACAGGGTGATGCTACAGATTTTCGCATATTAAAGAACAGAGTGTTACACGGATTAGAATAATAAATTAAAAACACTAAAAACTGATGTGATTATAAATTCAAATAAAATAAACAAGTCGAGAATACCAACCTAGACTAGAGACAGCTTACTGAATACAGCCATTAGGCTATAAAAAAATATTGGTAGGCATAATTAAAAAGACAATGAAGATCTGAGGTTAGAGTTCAACTATTATATTTTTTATATGTATATCTCGAAAACCAACCCGATTATACCGATGATGTATGCCAATTAAAAGATAGTTTAAATAACTTTTTATATGATACACATACATAGTATATATTACAGCCATTTTTAAAACAAAATTTATATAAACGACATTTAAATAAATATATGAAATTTCGGATTTTAATATTTTTCGTTAAATACTGCGTAAATGTGTCTTTCTTTCGATATACCATTTGACTACAGTGGCACATACAGTTTTCTTCCGAATGAGAAAATAGTTGCGCTTGGAATGCCGGAGTTGGTGAGGTATTTGAAATATGAAATAAATCTGCGTTTATCTTCGCTTCGCTTCGGTATCTTTGTTTAAGTTCTTGCAGCACGAAAAAGGGCTTATTAAGACCAATAAATAGCACACCTACTACTCCTCCTTCAACTCCTCTTTAATGTCGTCTTCTCTTATATCTAAGTACGGACTCATTGGATTGTACGATAAGCCCGCCATTTCGAAAAATACGTTCAAGGCATCTAAGTCTGCAAGCTTGCAATGCCGCGTGAATAAAAACTTTGCCAAATGTTCGCTTAAAATCTTTTTGTTTCGGTGGTGTTGAGGCATTGAATGCTTGGCATGCCGCCAAAGTTCCTCAATGGTGTTGGTGTGTTCTTGGGTTTGTGGATTTTTAAAGTTAATCGAATGGTTTTGTTTAAGGTGAACATACCCCTCGTCCCTTAAGCAGTGATATTCCTGTAATGAAAAGCATTTTGAATTTGTATTTACGTATGTATGCATATATGTATAAACATCTAATTCGACATCAAACTCACCTTCCAAAAATCGGAAACTATAGTCGTATGAGGAAGAATCCAACGTTTTATAATGGCCAATAAGGTTTCCTTATCCCTCTGTTCAACGGGAACAAGGAAACACCTATTGGTACCCCGCTCCACTCCACCAAAAACCCACTGCCCCTCAACACCACGACCCGAATCATACTTCCGGCGGCCGAATTCGCTTTCGCCTATCTCAACGACAGACCCGGCGCCACCGATTTGATACCCTATTCGATTCATACCAGTATACACCACCTCACGGCAACAGTTAGACCACTCAATAGCGGTCCGCAAAGAGATACTTAACTCCTCTGTTATAAAATCTTGCGGTACATTCTTAATCCAAAGGTAAGAAAAAGCAATGAGCTTTACCATAGGCAGCTTCGACCTATAGAAAAAAGTGTTTTTTCTGATAGAAATTTGAACACTGCACGTTCGCGGCTTCCTTTTGCCCCTCGCACTTTTTTGGTGACATCTACACATAATAAGATTTTTGTGAATTATAATTTGATATTGACACATAAACTTACCGCCAAAGAAATCCATCAAGTTTTGCAGAAGACGGTAGCAACCTCAGCGGATGGCCCTGAGCACACAAATATTGCCCTTCACGAGGAATTAACTGCCATTGCTGCAGTTGCTCGAGTGCATCCGCACTAATGTTAGTGTCGTTCTCGTTATCAAACATTTTATATATTTTGCGTAAATTGAAAGTAGCCATGTTTAATATCTGCCAGAAGACTGGTTTGATATACGCCGGAACACAAACGAATGAAAAAAATATATTTACCGCCTTCGTTGCTGAATGTGATGAAGAGGATTAAACTTTATTTTACCAATCGAATAACGCAGTAATTCCTTTATAAAGCAACAATTTCATTCACAGTATATACTAGGGATGGAAAAGTCGATTCCGATTTCACTCCGGAATCGAAGATTTTCTCCAAATAATCGATTTTAGAGCATCGATTCTAAATTTTCGCAATCGATTCTGAGAACTCGATTCTCTTATTTTTCATACATCTTTAGTCTGCGTTCAAACACGGAAACTCGAGTTTCTTACTATCGGCGATTTCTCTTTTGGTGTTGCCCTTTGCATTCACACACAGAAACTCTTTTGTACGCAATTGTTGTTGTCAGCTGTGAATCGCCAACTTGAAATACTCAAACGAACGAGAGCACAAAGCGTGTTTCCCGAGTACGGGCGACTCGGTACCCGTCACCTTTCCTCGTCGCTCTCTCCCCTACAAGCTTCGAGTTTCCGCAACAAAAGTTTTCGTGTCTGAACGTCGACTTAGATACGCGTCAGTTGTAAGTCCCCTTTCAGACACGTCAAGTCTTGCTTTCAAGTCTGCTCGTTTGTAGGCGAAGGAGGTGAGAAGAGAGGGGAAGAGTACAGATACCTCCGTACCGTCAATTCGTTTCAAGTTCTCTTGTCTCTTTTGATCTTTTCGTTGCTTCCCATTTAAAGAACCAAGGACTTGAATTCAATTAAAGTTGACGCGTGTGGAAGCAAATAGGAAACACAAAAGAGAATGCGAAAAAATTGCTATCAAGACTTGACGTGTCTGAAAGGGGACTTAGAATTGGGAATAGGGACACAATATCGAACAGAAAGTATCGATATGGTACTCATTTAAAGTATCGGTTTAAAAATATCGGGTACCCATTAATATCGGAATAAAAAGACTCGATTTTCTAAATATCGATACCAAAATCCAAAAAAATTATCTAAATATAGGTCTCGTATATAGGCCGCTGTGGTGTAATGGTTAGCAGTGCGCAAAGCTTGAAAATGAAAAACAGCTTCGTATTAAAACAAAATCGCCGTTCAGAGTCGACATAAAACTGTAGGGGCCCCTTTTGTGCCACAACATTAAAGCGCGCGCGCGACAAATCGGAGGAGAATCTCGGTCAAACACTAACATATTGTGTAACAGCACGTAGAGGTTGATGTGTTGACTTAAAACACCGAGGACGCGGGGTCAAATTCCACCACATGCAATCCTAACTATATTACAAATTTCTGCTCTTTAAAGCCCAATTTATATCGGTAAGAATTGTTAATAACATTATCCTCATTATCCTTGTAATGTGAGTTTATGATATTCGATACGATACTTGGGTTTTGGTACTCGATTCCAAAAAATATCGTTTCAAAACTATCGAGTAGAAAATATCGGTATCGTATGGCAAAAGTATCGATGTGGTATCGTATCGTATCGAAATTCGTGTCCCTAATTGTGAAATTGTGAAATTTCTGGCATGACTAATATATACTACGTTTATACGTAAGCTATTTGCAAATAAAAATAATTTGCAAATACCTAACTCACTGTTTATTCGACGGTGAAAAATTTTTATTTAATATTGCCTGATTATAAAAAGGCCATATGACCATCGAAAAAGAAAATAAAATTAAAAATGGCAACGTCTTGATTATAAAAAGGCAATAAGATTAACATCGAAAAAGAAAATAAACCTAAAAATGGCGGCGTCTTGCGCTTATTTGCAAATAGTATCACTAATCAATACTTATTTGCGTGATTTAGTTATTTGCAAATAAAAAATTAACTCAGCGTTTATACGGCAAAGTTTACCATTTTGCAAATTGTTATTTGCAAATAAGACGTGCGTATAAACGTAGTTATAAATATCAAGTAAGACTAATAGCCCAATTCTGTATCGGTGACAAAAATTTTTTTATTGACAAATTTAAACTTTTACATATATATTTCCGTACAAGAATTTGTCACTGATACAGAATAGAGCCATGATCCAACTACACAAGATCTGACAAGATGAAGCAAAAGAAAAAAGTAATTTTCTGGCTGACGTTTGTAATTTCGGCCCCATGCTATTTTCTGTGAAAAGTAAACAAAGAATATGAAGACGAAGCATAAAGAAAAACTGCAAGCAATATTGTGCACATGTTTGTGCTAATCAATTTATAATTTTTGTACGTGTTTTTGCATCCAATAAAGAAAGAAGCAAAACAGAAATAGCAAACTTCAAAATTACGAACGTCACACACTTTTTTCTCAATTGCTATTACAAATGGCTGCTTCTCAACCGGTCAGATCTGTTCTGATTGGTTCATGGAATAGAGGCGTAATTGGCACATATTCATAGAGATGCTAGAATTGAATTTCTGTAATGAAACCATTTTAAGGAGGGTATTCCAATTTATTTACTTCCCATATCAAACAGTACCGTGAATATGTTGCAATCACACATTTTATTGCAAATAAAGCAATTTTTACACAAACTTATTATTAAAGCTCTTGTTAAAATAATTTTAATTGACTCATTATAATAGTTAGCTATGAATGATGGCTGTATAATTGGCCGTTTTTATAGATTTTTCAAGTGAAAGAAATGTTGAAATAAAGAATCGATTAGAATGGAATAATTCGAATCTCGCCGTCGATTATTCGATTCCAAGAATCGTAAGGATTAAATAAGATTCGAGAATCGATTATTTTCCATTCTCAAGGCCGGTCCACATAAGGCCCGTCCACATAGAACTTTGGCGTTGCGTTGGCGTTGGCGTC